TGTGAGTGTTCAGGTCGGTCCCATTATCTGCCTATTAGGAACACAGCCTGGCCTGTTGTATTTCATGTATTAGTTTCACAAAGGGTTCATTTCTGCTTCTCCATGTCTAGGAGCCATTTTTAGACCCAGCAGACACTGTATTACACACAGCTGATTACTGTTTCTATCAGTGTCTCTCTTAAGTAACAACTTTACAGAGGTATAATTCACCTAATTAAAATGTATGATTCAGTGGTTTTGGTGTATTTCTAGGACTGGGCCCATCACCAGCATTAGTGGTAGAGGATTTCCACGGTTGTAAAGGGAACCCACACCTGATCAATTGCTTCTCGTCCCCCAGTGTCTACCCACTGTATCCCAGGGTAGCCACAGGTACACTTTCAGTCCCTGTCCCTCAGCTGTCTAGCACTATGACAAACAGTGGAGATAATAAATTTGGGAAGAGAAAAACCTTCATGCTGGCTCACAAGTTTTAGGAGTTTCCTGTGCTTTGAGCCTGGTGATATTTCGGGGTGGGATGTGTGAGGGGTAACAATGAAAAGGGGCGGGACCGTGGACCCTAAGTCTCCCTTGAGAGCAAACCCTCAGCTCTCCCCAGACTTCTCACAGACCCCGGTCCTTAAAGGTTCCACACGAAGCTCTTTACAAGATACACACGAGCCTGACATAGGCTTTTGTTTCATTCTTGTGCTTAAATCTCCTGTGCTGAACACAGGCTGGGAACGGCAGGAGCAAGTCTCCTAGGGAGGCAGCCCTGGGTGTGAGTGTCTACCCTTGATGCCAGAGTTTTTCACAATGGACCCTTTATCTGAGAAATTTCCCTTTTATTCCTGGTGTGTGTGTGTGTGTGTGTGTGTGTGTATGTGTTTATGTGGGAGTGTGTGTGAGCATGTGTGTGCATGTGTATGTTTGAGCAAGCATGTGTGTGTGTGTGTGTGTGTGTGTGTGTGCACGCATTGCTTGCTGTGACATATACATGGTGGTAATCCTTGGCAGGAGTCAGTTTTCTCCTTCCACCATGTAGGTCCCAGGAATTGAACTTAGGTCATCAGGGTTAGCAACATGATCCTTTACCCGATAAGTCATCTTGCTGTCCAGTATTATATTATTTAAGTTTCAAGTGTAAAGTAACTTGCCTTTTTGGCATAACCCCACTTACTTATTCTATAAAATCTCTTTATATATCTTGGGCTTAGTTTTGGTTAAGGTTTTTTTCTGTCTATCATAACGAGATGCTGGTATATATTTTTCTTGTGACATGTCTATTTTTTTGTATCAAGATCATACAATATTAAACTTAAGAAAGAATAAGGATAATATTTCTGATTATCTGATACTGTTTGGTTTGTAACAGCTGTGGAACTCACTGGAAAAGCTGTCTAGACCTGGGCTTTCTTTGTGGGTAGCTTCTAGCTATTGATTTAATACCTTAGAGAGATATTCATGTTTTTTGTTTCTTTTTCAGTCAGTTTTTCCAATTTGAATTTATCTCCTCTACATTATCTGCTCTGTTGGCACATAGGAGAGCAGAAGCCCTTCATAGTCCTTATAGTCTTTTTATTTTTATAAGGCCAGTCATTTAGTCTCCATTTTATTTCTGTTTCAGTAATTACGGTGTTCCCACCTATTTGTGTAGTTATCTTAGCTGAAGACCAATTGATTTAAAAAATTTTTAATGAGCCCACTTTGAGGATATTTTCCTTTTGATGCTCCACTTGTTCAATTCCACCAGAAATCTGAGGGCTTCCTGCTCCCTCTTTCACATCGCTAGAATTCACACAGTTCCTCACACCAGCCCCAAGGTGCCAATGGACACAAACTTCCTGTTTTTCTTACATTTTCTTCTTTCCATATGGCCTGCTTTGGGACTGACAAACATTCCATCCACTTGCCATCTGGTCAACCCCAGTCCTCAATGCGATGTTCCTTAGGCTCCAGACAGAGTCACGTGCCCAGTGGGTCCTCCTACTTTTTCCTGTAACTATGGAACAGCATGTGCTGTGTGGGCCATACTGAATCCACTCTTGGGCTTTTGGACCCCAAACTGCTCATGGGTAGATGCTAAGTTTGCAGTGTCTACGGGGTGTTGCATGATATGAGGTAGACAAATGTTTTTTAGGTGGAACACTATTATCTACAACTCAGGTTGGAACCCTTCCCATTGAAACTGGAGATGGAGTTATCGCCTCAGACCTTTCTCCCACTGAACTGTACATCAAACTCCACACCCCTGAGTACCCAACTCCTGCTCCTCTTCTGGCTCATGCTTCAGCACTGCAGGAGCAAAACAGCTCCTCACAGACCACCCTTCAATCAGCTCCTTCAGAACCCTCTCCCTCATCGAGCACATGCTTGTTATTTACTGAAAAACTTTAGAGTCCTCTATTCTGTCTGAGTTGCATGAGACAGACAAGACCCTGTCTCAGATCCTTGCAAACACAGTGGCTTCCTGGACTCTCACAGCAGATAATTCTTTAGACAGATAAACTTAGGTAGCCATGGATACTAGTGTGTTTAGTGTTGAATTATGGGGTCAGTGCAACACAAGGCACTACATGTTAGCTGAGTCTTCAAACTCCTGTGGTGTGGACCAAGAACTCTTGGCAACATTAAGGTCCTGATCTAATGGCATGTTACCCTATAGAGGGGTCCTTCCATTCAAGCTAGAGCTAAATTGTTATCATACTAGACAAGAGTGAGTGAGGACAGAGCCTTCCCAGCAGTCAGAGCCACCCACGCGGAGGTTGAAAGGGGACATTCAAATCAGATTTCAGATTTGTTTTTCAATCTGAATGGCAGGACAATTTGTCATAACGCTGCATGCCTAGATCCGTCTTAGTTATGTCATGAATATCTAATAGACTTAATCAAACTCCTGAACAGACTTCCATTAATTAATGACCTGGCATCTTCTTGTTTTCTCTTTTAGCATTGATGTTTAGTCAGTTGTTTGGTAAGTTCCAGTATATTCCACAACTGACAACTTATCCGAATCAGTTGTTAAGTACATTCCAGCACATTCTGCAATATTGAAAACCTAGCTTAGTGTGTAAGCAAACATGCAGGACAAAGTCAAAAGAGTGTCCCTGGAAGCCTGGGAGCTGGACCTGCTGTTCTGTGGTGCAGAACCATTTCCTGCCTAGATTACTTCCAGTTAATACTGTCTGGATTCTGAAAATTATTTTAGTCAGCAATGCTTGCTATTGTTCCTTAGTTACTCAAAAACTACGAAAGTGGAAAGTTAGCATTCTGTTTGCACAATACAATAGACTCCATGCTGCACATGCACATGTCTATGTCAATTTTACTTTTTAAAAAAGTGGGCATAGATGAATTTTCTGTGCTTTTGTGTGTGGTGCACTTTTATTTGTCTAAGAAGGACCGGGAGGCATTTGATAATTTGTAAATGGAGAAAGTACATTAAAAATATTTTATTTTTGAGTATGTGATTTTGATTCTCTGTGTATATGTCTGTGTGTTGGAATGCACATGTGATTTGCAGGTGCCCATGGAGTAAAGAAGAGGGTGTCAGATCACCTGGAGTTGGAGTTACAGGCAGTTGGGAGCTGCTAGACGTAGGTGCTGAGAACAGAGCTCAGGTACTCCACAAGAGTAGAGTGTGCTTTTAACCAGCGAGCCATTTCTCTAGCCCCAAAGAAAGAACATTTACACATCTTTTATGCTAGTGAGTAATGCTTGCCAGGAAGGGAAAGGTCACTGGATGCAATCTTAGTAACAGTGTATACCTTGTATTCCTGTATTCATAATGCCAATTATTTATGATTTTGATAACATAAAGCATATTCTTGTTTTAGATTCAATGACTAAACTTGTTAGCTAATGATGACTAAACTTGATTCAAACTTGTTAGTTAATGTTTAAGTCTTCCTACCCAAAAGACACAGTCTTTTCTGTGAGTTGAGTGATACCCAAGACAAGGTGACCAGGCCTGCCTGTGGCAGTCTGTGCTTGCCCATGATGTCCCTTCATGCTATATGGTGTTGGGAACATAGCATCCTGGTCCCTTGACTCCAGTGTGGTCACTATTCAACAATTGTAATGACACCAATTTCTCTAAGAGGAAGAGGATTACACGGGCTGATAGGAACACTAAGAATACTTAACACCATACACTGAAAGCTTCCCTTTTGCCTATTTATTCCTCTCAGAATTTGGAAAGAAAGTTGATCAGGTGTGTGTGTGTGTGTGTGTGTGTTGTATGCATTATGTACATATTTATGCACACATGTGTTAGAGTGTATATGCACATGTGTGTGCATACATGTGATGACCAGAGTTTGACATTAGGCATCTTCCTCTTTCACTCGCTGTCTCACTTAAGTATTAATTTATTCTTTGAGAACTCCATACATGAATACAATGCATTTCAATTACATGTCTCCCCCACCCCAAGTCCTCTGGTTCTTGCCCTACTCCATGTTTCCAACTTCATGTCTTCTTTTTTTTTCAATCTGTTGAGTCCAATCTTTACTAGACATATACACATGAGTGTGGGACTGTCAACTGCAGCATGGCCAACTTCTCTCTCTCTCTCTCTCTCTCTCTGTCTGTCTCTCCCTGTCTATCTCTCCCTCCCTCCCTCCCTCCCTCCCTCCCTCCCTCCTTCCCTCCCTCCCTCCCTTCCTTGTTTTGACAGTATCTCATTGAACCTTGTGTTCACACATTCAGCTGGGCTAGCTGGTCAGTGAGCTTCATGGATCTGCTTGTCTCCACTCCGCCCAACCCAGTGCTGGGCTTACAGACCTATACCACTATGTCTGACTTTTGTATGATGGCTGGAGAACTGAACTCGGGTTCTCAGGCTTGAGCAGCGAGTTTGGGTTTTGAAGCGCGGAAGGAGACAAATGGAATCCGGAATGGTCTTTAGATGGGGATTGTGAACACGAACATTGTCACCTGATGATCCTTAACAAAATCAGGCAAAACTATGCTTCGGGGGATTTTCAAATGACTTCTCTCAATGTCTGCTTCTTTGCTAGGTACCTCCTGGTCAGTAGTTCTGAAGCAACATGCCGGAACAGAGCAATGATTACCGAGTGGCTGTGTTTGGGGCAGGTGGGGTTGGCAAGAGCTCCCTCGTTTTGAGGTTTGTGAAAGGGACCTTCCGGGAGAGCTACATCCCAACTGTGGAAGACACCTACCGGCAGGTGATCAGCTGTGACAAGAGCATATGCACGCTGCAGATCACCGACACTACCGGGAGCCACCAGTTCCCTGCCATGCAGCGGCTGTCCATCTCCAAAGGCCATGCCTTCATCCTGGTCTACTCCATCACCAGCCGGCAGTCCCTGGAGGAACTCAAGCCCATCTACGAGCAGATCTGTGAGATCAAGGGGGACGTGGAGAGCATCCCCATCATGCTGGTGGGGAACAAGTGTGATGAGAGCCCCAATCGCGAGGTGCAGAGCAGTGAGGCCGAGGCCCTGGCACGCACGTGGAAGTGCGCTTTCATGGAGACGTCGGCCAAGCTCAACCACAATGTCAAGGAACTCTTTCAGGAACTGCTCAACCTGGAGAAGCGCAGGACCGTGAGCCTCCAGATCGATGGCAAGAAGAGCAAGCAGCAGAAGCGGAAGGAGAAGCTCAAGGGCAAGTGTGTGGTCATGTGAGAGGCCGCCCTGCAGAGGAGCTGCTGCCCTTCGGGCCTCCCGCGTCCTCCCCCTGTGAACCCCACTGTCGTCAGGGCAGCATGTCTGATGCCCATGTGTCAAACACTGCATTTGGCTGTGATGCACCCAGCAATGTTCCCAAGAGGCGTTCCATACCACCCCACCAGCCCACCCCTCGGGAGCCGCAGAATCTGCGATGCTCTCAGCACCCCCGGAAACCGAGGCCGGTCCTGAGTGGGATTGAGTCATGTGAAGACAAGGGGACTCTTGAGCTGTGGATACAGGAGAAACCGAGAGTACAGTCTGATGCGTTTGTGTGACAGCAGGTTAGCCCCTAGCTACTGGTACCAATCACACCAGGACACTTACATTGAGAAGCCACTAACATCTTTGGGGGAGGAGCAGGCAGCCACCAGGAGGTCCAAAACACATGGGTCTAACCGGTGAGCCCCAGTGGTTCCTGTTGATGCATTTTTAGCGGGATTGAAGATTAATTACCATAGCCCTCTCCAACGATGCTCAAGCTGTTCCTACTGACACACAATGAGGGGATCCCCTCATTTCCTCAAAGTCTTCTTGCAAGCACCGTGTCAGCCTGTCACATGCAATCAAGGCCACTCATGGCACGATGCTGTCAGCACGTCTTCAGTTTTTGAGTCAGGACATTGTGACATCATGCAAACATCGCAATAACGCCCGTGTGTGTGTGTGTGTGTGTGTGTGTGTGTGTGTGTGTGTGTGTGTGTGTTACTTTGAGGGTCCTAGAAACGTGAACTTTCTTTCTTTTGACCTTCGAGGGATGCCACTTCTCCCAGCCCTCAGATTTTTAAATAAAAGTGAATAAAGTAGGTATTTTTTAGACTCCCACCTTCCCCACCCCTAAGATGGTTTTCTTGTCTTAAATAACTTCATGTGTACCCAGCTGGGAAACAGCCAACCAAGAGCATCTAATAACCAGAAGCACACCCATTTTTCTAACCGACATGAGCATGCAGATGCCACATGCTGCACCTTAATGGAACACTTTGAAACAGACATCATTCACTGTGTTTTTAACAATTTATCTACTCTGGAAGTAGATTGATAGAAAATGCATTTAATTAATATTAAATTCTTTCCCTGTTCCTTGCTAAATGTCCTTAAGTCCCTCAGTGTGGTGTGCACCCCAGAACCAGTTCTTTCCTAATGGCCCTGTGTACCCTGTATTCTTCAGAACAAATCAGCCACTGCTTGAGGCACCAGAGGCCACAGCAGCTACAGAGAGCCTGTTCTTTCTTTTCTGGGCACAGTGCCCTCAGCTTAACCCAATTTGCCTGCCATCCTGGAGTCTGGCTGGGGTTTGGTTCTTGAAAATTCTTCCTCCCACAGTCAAATGAGAAGGAGCTCCTGTTTCACCTGATAGGACAAACCCATGCTGGCCTCCGGTGCTGATTTGGACATTCTCTTAGCCATCTTACTGTTGCCCAGTCAGCAGGTAGAGGAAACCGTAGCACTGCGAGGGCCTATACAGCGGCTGATGGCCATGTGCAGACCTCCCAATGCTGGTGTATGTGGTAGGCCTCTGGCTCCATCTATGCCTCCAAAGCATACCGTGTTCAAACACCTTCGCTTCCTTCAGACCGCTGTGATTTGGTTTCCTTGTCTGGCCTGGCCTACTTTGCTTTGTAGCTCACCCTGGTGATATGCTGAAGGGTTGGGGACATCCTTCAGAAAACCATATGGCTCAGTGATCTTACCATTTCTGTGGACTTCTAGAACAAAATCCTTGGGGACCTGAGAGAGCAGCTGCACTGTGAAATGAGGAAGCCTGGGAGTCAACCATGAACTCAGAGCACTTGTGACATTCCAGACCCGCTCTGAGCCTCTTCTATTGACTCTTTATGTTCCTAAAGGCCATTCCCTACCACAGGAAGGTCAGTCGTGGAGTTTTCTGGAATGTCTTTGATTCGCTGCTCCATTTCTTTCTACTTCTGTTCTCAAAGAGAATGCATCACCTTGCCAAGTAGGTGTGGGATTAGTGAAGGAAAGGCCATGACTCCATGGCTATATATGTGGTGATCCCTTCGCAGTTGGTAAAACCCTGCCTCTCCCACTGACGGCAACCAGACTTCAGACGGAATGATACTACAAGCTTCTCTATTCGCAGTGACCACATGTCAGCACGCTTTTAGCTCTTTAAGTCAGTTTCCAGTTTCTACCTATTTCAGTCTTCATTCACTCGAGAACCTGCAGCTTCACAGTGACTGTTCCTTTCTGTTCTGCCTGTGAGTTTAGAGGGTGGGAAGTTGGTAAAGACTTCCTCCCCGGGCTTTGTTCTGACATTACTTTCTATAGATTGTGCTGAGCACTGGGTACCAATCTCAACATCTCCCCTTGTAAACTCCCCTCTGACTCAGGAGCTGAGGGTGCAGCACTATTGGGCCAATGGCTTTCAGCTTTGCTTTGGCCCCATTCCAAGTCATAAAGCTGAGAGTCTTGGTAACACCCTACGTTGCACATGGGACTGGAAACTTCTGACCCAGCCCCAGCTCATTATAAAACTTGAAATATTGCTTTGAAGATGGCACTCTGGGGTTAAGCACGGGACTCCATGAGTTCCCTAATCCCTACCGGTTCCCTCTCCATTCAGTGACAAGCCATGGGCACGCATCCAATGCATCAAGTCCAACAGAGAGCAATATCCAATTGTCCACTAGATCTAAAATTATATATATTATGTAATTTACCTTCCTGCACTTTTGAAGTATAAAGTAGTAAATTGTATATATCTATCTCTATATATCCATATGCTAGCATATGTTTCACTATTTGTAATATTTGAGAACTATTCATTCTTTGTAGAACAAAAAATGTATTAAATATTTTAAAATTGCGCTGTGATCTTCCTCCCTGTCCCAAGTTTGTAAAGTGTTGCTCCTACACAAGCGTATGGAAATACCATAGCCAAGGGGGCATGTGAAACTCCTACAAGCCACATCCTGGGATTCAGTAGCCCACAAAGACCTTGTGTCAATCAAATACCTGCAGCTAGTCTAAAACAGCGATCACTGGCATGTGAGATGCTGGCACATGCTTGCACAGCAGGCTCTTGCTATTCCAGTTCCAGACATGTGTTATGTCTGACATACTCAATGGTTGTGAAGATCCTCACACAAGGTCCTAGCTGCCATGATGGTCCCAACCCATGGAACCAGTTACAATAAAGCTCAGTTATGACACTCTGTGAAATGAAGAGGTTTGGATTTTCATTGTGTGTGTGTGTGTGTGTGTGTGTGTGTGTGTGTGTGTGCGCGCGCGCGTGCCCATGCGCAAGTGTGCCTGTGGAGGTCAGAGGCCAACTTCAAGTGTTGGCTTAGAAGCTAACCACCTTGTTTTTTGAGACAGTGTCTATCACTGGAACTTGGGGATTGTCAGTCACACCAGGCAGCTAGGGAGCCCCAAGGATCATCCTGTCTCCTCCTCTCTATTACTCAGGCCCAACTTTTTTCTTAAAACAAATTCAGGGTCCCATCTTTGCACGGCACCCATATTAACAAGTAAGCTATCCCTTCTGCCTCAGTATCTCTTTAAAGAAAACCAGAAAGTTGATGTTTTCAACTTTAAAATTATGAGTTCCCAATGGGAGGAAATGACCAAGTATATATATTATGTAATTTACCTTCCTTTTAACAGTAGAGAGATAATTAAACCATTCACAGGGTGACACAGAGGGCTGTGAAGTGAGCTTACAGATGTATTTCTGTGCTCCACCATGCACACCTGGGTTTTTACGTGGGTGTCTGAGGATCTGAACTCTGGTCTTTGTGCTTTGCTGACTGAATCATCTGCCCAGCCCCTTACTTCTGATTTTAACGGTTGATCTGGTTGGCATGTTTTGGACTAGCTGCTCTGCCAGTGGCCGCAGCGGACCTTGGAGGGGGTAAGACATGAATGAAACAAGGAAGGCAACCCCTCCCTTCAGACAATTAAATGAGGACCAAGCCCTTAGCATTTGCTCCTGGACATGATTCCTGCCTTCTCTTCATTCACAGACTGTGAAATAAAACTCATTAAAAAAAAAGGCAGGAAACAGGCCAGACATGATAGTTTTGACTGCCCCTGACTGAAAACAGTTAGTTTACATTCTCTGTGGTTCTGCAGAATGGGGCTTAACAGAATCTGCAAGGTGGGTATGAGGTTCATTTAATGACATACACAAAACTCTGGGTGCTGACTTGCCACATATGAGCCTTCAGTGGAAGCGAGCAAAAACCCTGTTGAGGGCTACATGGTATTGGAAGGTCCGTAGTGCAAAACTTGACCACAGAATCTTTACTATTTCAGAAGTCCTTTGAGAACTTTCTGGCCAAGTTGTCTGCACACCACTCCCTTCAATTCCTGTCTGCTTTGCAACCCTTCTCCCCATCTCATAATTATTGCTATGTTATCCTGCTGTTACTATCTATTGAGATAACCATAGCAAGCAGGACCCCTTGGTCCCCCCATAGTGAAAGGATATACTGGCTGCTACTTACAAGACTTCCCTGAGCAGATGAAGTGCCATAAAGGTCTTGAGACTCAGAAATACCCCATTGTAGCAGCAAGAGATGTCCTTGCAGCCTTAATCAGTAGAAGACACACACACACACACACACATATATATGTATATATATATATATATATATATATATATATATCAACAGCATGGAGCTCTGTGTCCCCAGGTGATAATGATGAAGAGAATCTATTTTCACACTACTCATCTCCAGGCACCATTGGTGATTTAATTAGAGAAAACTTAAATTGGGTTCACAAATCAAGAATATATATATATATATATATATCAAAATATATATATAATGTTTCAATGGAAAATTTTTACTAACTAGAGCTTAATTAAGCCAAGCAGGGAATTAAATTACGCAGAAGAGCCAAAGAATAGAAGACTCTTCTTAACTGACTTTTTTTGTAATCACCTGTGAGTAAATGAGCTTCACAGTGTCTTTGGAGCAGGGCTGTTGCTTTCTGTTGGAGGTAGTGCAGACTTTGTCAGGTGAAGAGAGAGACCAACCTCAGAGCTGGGGTGCAGTGATTTGCCAGTCCCCTTAACCATCAAGCATGGTCAGAAATTAGTCTCTTTGGATTGAGTGAGGCCCACAAATAGTTACATAATTTAGCATTGTGATGTCCCAGCGTGAGCCCTCCATATGCAATGTTCCCTGGAGAAAATGCTGCTCCAAGCTGAAGCTGGAGATGGTTCCCTGACAGTCATCCACTGTCAGAACCCAAGCCTCCCCTTCCTTTTCTGTCTGCAAGGCGTGCCGGGCTTCCCACTACTCGACGAGGCCTCGTCTCGAACACATGCTCCAGGACTGCTCTGCTGGCGTCTGCCTTTTTTAGGTCACATTTTTGCTGCTTCTTTCCACGCTCCAAATCCAGGCTGCACGCTTCCATTCACACATAGCCCGAAATAGCTGCTCTCAGGAAGGGCTAAATATAGGAAGCTTGAGACTGCCTTTTACCTTCCCATTAAGCAAGCCTTCCTTTCGAGTTCTCTGTGGAGATGGCCTGTGGTGGGCTCCTGCTCCTAGGACCAGGGGAGACTCCTTGGTTTCAAAAAGCCTCTTGACCCAGGTGCTAGGTTAGCTAGGACCAGTGGACATAGATGAGGGACAGGAACTCCCTGAAGGTCCCTTTCCCTGCATCATCATCAACAGAAGCTGGAATGGGCAATGAGTGTCATTCCCCAGAAAGCCCACAGTAGGTTTGTGTGGAAGAAACCTGCGAGACCAAAGCTGGAGTGGGATTTTCTGGCTGAGCTATGAGGGATTCCTTGATGACAGCCCAGGGGACCTGCAGATTTCTCTGTACTTTTCCAGCTCGGTACCAGGTAAAGATGATCGAGTAGGCAGCCCACAGGCAGAAGGCAATGTTGAGAAGAAGGAATGCCAGCCAAACAAGTGTTCTGCATGGGAGCCTTGTAAAACCCCTGGGCAATAGCCTGCCCTCATGTTGCATTGCCTGGCATTAACACAATCACGTCATTTTCTGGGAAAGGACACCCCTGGTAGAACTAAATGTCAAAATTAAATTGCTATCCTGGAAGGGTGTGGTTGGGAGATATGACTGTCCACTCAGTATCTCCATAACCACACTAGAAAATCATATGTTTGCCCAACCTCCTCCTTGTTTGAAAGTTCTGTATACTGGAATAAAAATATTTAATACGAAATGTAGCCACAGTGACATATACCTGTAATTCCAGTGCTCGAGGGCTGAAGCAGGAGGATCATAATTTGGAAGCCAGCCTGAGCTACAGAGTGAGACACTGTTTCATAATCTAACCAAATACACTCACAAACAAAATCTAAACAGAGAGAGAGAGAGAGAGAGAGAGAGAGAAAAGGATGGATGGATGGAGAGAGAGAGAGAGAGAGAGAGAGAGAGAGAGAGAGAGAGAGAGAGAGATGCTTTATGTGCCAGCCAGTGTCCCAGCTGAATGGATAGTGCTGTCCAGTTGGGGGAGGTTCTTCCTATATTCAGTTTTTCAACCTACACGCCAGTGTCTTCAGGAGGCGGTCTCACAGACACACTCAGGGGACTGCTTTGTCAACCCTTTCGGCATCTCTCAGTCCTGTCATCATGTTGGGCGGTGGTGGAGCCTGACTTTAGTTCCAGCACTTGCGAGGCAGAGGCAGAGGCAGGCAAAGCTCTGATCTCTGAGTTCAATGCCAGTTGGGTCTACAGAGCCAAGGACAGTCAGGGAAACCCTGTCTGGAAACACACACACACACACACACACACACACACATACACACACACGCCATCATCATCACAACTGAAACTCAAATTGGTGTTTTGGTTTTTCTGTTAGAATATACCCACCTGAAATTCATCATCTTAACTAAGATACTCATTTATAAATAAGGGTGAGAAGTCTGTGCAGTGTGGGAGACAGGACACCATAGGGTGTGAGAAAAAAGAAACAGGACCCCGCATGGCATGACAAGGGTGGTGCCTGCAGGCCAATCACTCCTCTCATTATGGCACATTCATAGTTGTTTGGTTTCAGTTCTTTCCAGTTTTACAGAGTATCCATTTGCTGAGGATGTAGACAAGAACAGAAGGTCAAAGTCTCATGTTTTTTGGGTAACATCTTGGAGGCAGGAAGATCTTATCCAGCAGTAATTTAATTCCTTGTTAATGAAAAGGAGTGATGAGGTAGGGATGTAGCTAAACTAATAGGGTGTTTGCCTAGCATTAAAAATTCCCTGCATTCCATCCTTAGAACTGCATAAACTGGGTAGAGTGTTTCATCCTGTAATCCCAACACTAAGGAGGACCAGAAACTCAAGGTCATCCTCTGATACCAGTCTGGGGCCAGTTTGGTCTCAGAAAAAACAGTAAGAACCAGAAAAGACAGGGAAGCAGTGGAAAAGATGAGGTAGGTAAGAACTTCTGGGGGTAGCCACTGCTGGAACAGTGCCCAGGAGAAGAGAGGGAGTCTAACTATTAAAATTTGTTGCCATGGCAATTTGTCAGAGGATGCTGAGGCCGTTTTTCAAAAGAAGTATCCTAGATTATGTGAAAGAGCAGACAAGCTTCCACATCGTCTAATTCTGCAAGGAGGTGTAATTAAATGGCCTTTAAAGTTTTGTATATAATATCTGCTTCATTCTGAAGCACGGAGAAAAAAATATGAGCCCAGTTAGCAGCCATGGGTATTTTTCAACATCTGACAAAGTTTGATTTCTAGTTCTTTTTTTCCTGCAACAAAAAGAAACAAAATACAGGAAGGAAAAACTGGTCAGACACTGTATTGTTGGCATTTATGTGACCAAATGCTTGACAAAAAATATTTAAGAGGTGAATGTCTGTTTTGACTTACAGTTTGAAGTAATGCAGTCTGTCATAGCTGGGAAGGTATGGCCATCGCAGAAACATGAGAAGTTGGTCACATTGCATCTGAAGTCAGGAAGCAGTGTGTACCCAGGAAATGGGGCCAAACCATCAAACCCACTTCCTCCAGTGAGGCTCCACCTCCTAAAGGTTCCACAACCTCCCAATTCAGTACCAGACACTGGAGAGCAGAGGATTAAATGCAAGAGCCAATGGGGGAGTACTTCCTCTTCTAACTACAGCAGACAAAAAGTTCAGAGATACGGATGCAGGACTTCTACAAATAAAGAGAAGAGTAACCAAGCATTTATTATATCTGAATATTGTCTTGCTCCATAAGCTCCAAAGTT